GTCATGCCATAGTGATTCGATAGTTCTAATCAACATACTATCATTCATAGCCGTAAACATAATTATGACATCAATAATCATACCATACCTGTGCATCCCGTAGGATGTAGCATATTTCATAAGTTCTGCTGTTTCACTAGTTCTTATAAACTTTAGTTTGATCCAGGCATACGTAGAGGATTCTTTTTCAAATGTATAAATCGAAACTATCAATTATATATATATATATATATATATATACATACACACACACACACATACACTATAAAAAGGAAAAGACCCACTCACAGATCATGTCGTTGAGTCGATCCTGCCTTGTGGTATCGAGAGTCCTTGCAATGCGTTTCGCCTGTGGCCAAGTCCAATTTGGCCTGGAAAGGCTCCAATCCGGTTCAAACCCGCCAGAAACAATGGCGCTCTGGCACTCCACCACTCCAACCAAGGCTTAGGACTTATTCCTAGGTTCAAGAGGAGTCGACCCATGGTGGTGGTCGACAAAGTTTGCTTCAGGAATGGCGGATCGCCGCCATGAGACCTTTAGCGCCACAATGCGTGTTCTTCCCAATTTCCTGGCTGAATTAACTCAAGTTTGATGGAGAAATGAAGATGAGAGGTCTCTGAGTTGATTCATGGTGGTGGATGGCTACAAATCGTCGGAAAACCGATGAAAATCGATGGAGAAGACAAACGAAACGAAGTCGGGTCGGAAAAAGGGAAACGGGCTGGTGATCCCATGCCTCACCTCTCCTTCTTTTCCCTTCCTTTCCTTCTCTCCCTATTGGTCACTTTCTCCTCTCCTCCTTCCCGATTGGCTAACACTCTCCTTCTTCTAATTGGTCCATCCTCCTTCTCCTTCTTATTTCCTTTCCGTCCATCCCCTTTCTTGATTGGGGAACCCCTTCCCCCCATCTCTCTTTTCTTCATTTCTCTCCACTAATATTAAAAAGAATAATATAATAACTATGAGAAATATATATAAACTAATAAATAGTAATCTTTACAAAAGTACTTTTTGAATTTGTAGTTCCGTAAAACCCCTACTGTGACTCCGATTTCGATTACTCTTACGTGATCGTCTTGTCAAGAACTTTAAGAGTACGGTAAAATAGTAACTTGCACGCGTTGCTAAATAACAGTTAACGAAAGTCAACAATCTCGCTAGTAGAGGCATTTTCATCAATTCACTCTTTTAAAAATTAATAAAATCGTAAAATTAGGGATGGGTTGTCACAAATTTGAGCCAAGTTGCTTGTGTAGTGGCTTCTGAAGCACTGATGTATTATGCTTCTGTAGTGGATAAAGCCACACATTGTTACTTGACAAATGCCCATGAGTACACCCCATTGCTAAATGTAAAGGCATAACCAAAAGAACTTCTCATATCCTCTTAAAAGCCACTCCAATCACTATCACAAACACCAAGCAATACTGCTCATTTCCCATTCTTATACTCCAGACTGTAATCTAGTGTTCCTTGTACATATCTTAGAATTCTCTTGGTTATTCCAATGTGTTTGTTGGTAGGATAGTGCATAAACAGTGCCAACAAACATGCTTTATACATTATATCTAGCCCTATTGTTGTGAGATACAACAAACTGCCAACTGTTCATCTATACTGACCTTCATCAACTGCTCCACTTCCATCATCCTTTCTTAACTTGTCACTGGGAACCAATGCAATACTCACATACTTGCAGTCCAAACTTTTTGAGCAAAAAAGTTGCATATTTTTTTTTGGTTTAAGAAAATGTGATTCTCAGTTTGAATAACCCCTATGCCAAGAAAATGATGAAGCAAGCCCAAGTTTATTATTTCATACTTGCTAATCATATCAGATTTGAATCCTGTAATCAATTCATGGTCGCTTCCTATATAAACTATGTCATCCACATAAATGGATACAATGAGAATTCTTACATAACCACTGGTTTTGGTATACAATGTTGCTTCACTAGTACTTATCTTGAAACAACACTGTGTAAAATACGAGTCAATTTCCCCATACAATGCTTTGTGCAATGTTGAACCCACACTAGTTTTGGTATACAATGTTGCTTCACTAGATAGTACTTATCTTGGAGCCTGTTTTAGCCTATACAATGCTTTGTGCACCTGTAAACTTTGGGAACTCAAAATATAAATCACATTTACCATTTATACTTCAACACTCCCCTTTAAATGGTGAATTGATTTCACTCCAAGTATCTCTCTAAGTTTGCAAAATTGATCATTTGCAAGTGCCCTTGATCACATGGTGACTCCTTTCTCATTTTAGGTGGAATTCGATTCAAAATTTTATTTGCAGTAAGCAGAGCTTCACCCCAGAAATTGTGTGGAAGCCCTGAGCTATTCAACATGAATGCCATAGATGTTTTTCTCAGATTTTCAATTTGAGAGGCAACGAACTTGGAATTAACCATTTTGTAGTCCAAAAATTTGGCCACGACAAATTTCCTTGAACCAGCATCCTCGATTTTATACTTTTTCTCAAGTGATTCCCAAAGTTCCTTGGCTGTTTTGAATACCATATAGACATCATATAGTGAATCATCCAAGGCATTGAGAATATAGTTTATGCAGAGGAAATTATTATGATTCTAGAAATCTATAGCCTTGAAAATGTCTGCAAAACTATTGTGTCCTTCTGCACTAGGCACAGTCTCACGCATGACGTTAGCCAAATTCAGAATTGTCAAATAAAACATCATTTTTTGCTGCCATCTTTTGAAGTTTCCACCCTTAAATTTCTCAAGCCTTTTAGAATGAGGTTTATTTCCTAATTGTTCCCCTGTTCAAAGATTGTTAGAGAACAATTCAGAAATTAAAACAATAACAGAACTGAAATACTAATTTATTAATGAAATATACTTGCAACGCAGAATGAAATAAAAATAAAATAGTTACAAAAAATAAAATGATACTAGCTTGATTGATATATTTCCAGATATTAATCAAAAACTAATTCCGAAAATTAAAATTAATACATTCAATTAATTTTAACTTACAAGGCCCTAGTCTTTGATTAATTAATATTACTATTTATATTAGGGTATAATTAACACAAGCCTAATCACACAACCAGAGGCTCAAGCTCTAATTCTCATTCCAAATGGCCAAGTCCTAATTACTAATTAAAGGGACAAAACAGGACTGCAACAGGACCTCCTTCAACAATCAAAATCAAAATGGACTAAGCTGACCTTATTTTTAATTCTCTGCCAGTGAAAGATTAAAGTTAACTCAAGCGCAATGAACAAAAGTACAAGAAAAAGACATGCTTATGATTAAACTCCGCTATTCCAGATCTAAACAAATCATTAGAAACAAAAGCATATGTTCAAAGTTCAATTTATTGTGAAGTTAGATTCTTTTTTTATTACAAGCGATTTATTTATCTAAGCTACACAAAAGAAAGGGGGAGGGCTTGACTCAGGACACAGTGGGTTAAAGTGTGATTTTTGTTAATAAGAAAACTCATCTTTTGACGCAATATATGAAAATTATGGCTCACAGTCTTGTATCAAATATTAATGGAATGCTAGGACATTTGAGATAGTGACACCCTACTTCGAAAGATTTGCAATCTACCTTCTCGGCACTTATTTTTTTGGCTAATGGTATTCCTCGCTTATGGACAAGAGCAAAACATTCTTGTTCAAAAGGATTTTTAGCCAAATGGTTTTTGAGATTTGCATAACTCCTCACTTTGGTCATTGAGATTTGAAATCAATAAAATTGGTCCTGAGTTTGTCCACCATCACTCATTTTGGTGTTTCCTTGAAAAATCTCCATTAAATAAGAATAGAATGACCAAAATACCCTTAATTTTTATCAAATCATTTTGGTTTATTGTTTATTAAATTGAGAGCATATCAGTAATTTGGATCATTATTTAACATAATTTTGCACGGAATGACCAAAATGATTGATGATGGACAATTTCAGGGACCAGTTCTATTGATTTCAAATCTTAGGAACCAAAGTGATGTGTTATGCAAATCTCAGAGACTATTTTGGCTAAAAAGCCTTTTTAGAATACTAGCAACAATAATACGAGCTATATTCATGAATGGGCAAAACGCTTCTTCGTTAACCACTCACCTCAATACTGAGAATATCGACAAGGCAACCCAACTAGTACTTTCTCAACACATCAAATTCACTAACCCAAAACTCTCTTCCTTCTCTCTTTATACATATATCACATGCATTGCTCCTTAAGACAACTGATAGAGATTTTACCATCTATAAAACAAGGTTTAAACCATAGAAAATTCTTGAAAGAGAACAAGTTTTTGTAGTATAGAATGGCTCAAGTAAGGTCGATCTTCTCAAGGACTGGTATAAACAATTTATGAGTTTTGGAGAATTTAACTTAGTTAACAATAAGAACTACACTAATTTGACAAAACTAAATCCTACCATATGTGACTTGAACAAATATCTAAAATGACAATTGGCTTATAGAAATAATGATCCAACTAAACAAAACAGGTAAATGTAGAAGCTCAAGATAATATAAATAATTGAAGAAAATTAGATTGACAAGGGACTAGAGTTCAACCTTTACCAACAACACTCCTACGTAGCTCTTCCAATAGCTTAAGTAATCGAAAACACACATGCTTTCAAGGTTGGGTTTTTCCTTGTGTAGTTTTACTTGTGACATTCAAGCTAAAATGCATACCACAACATGCAATTTATCCATGACATTTGGATTAAATATGAATATGAGTGATTCATTAATCTTGGTGAAAATCCTTTTGGTAAACCATGTAATCCCTAAAAGTATGATTTTACCTTAGGAGAAATGACAATCCTCAATCACTAGAAGCATAACCAATTTTAATGTGATATTTGTTCAAAATTGCATCCGATGACTTTGCTAAGCATCCTAATGGTGATCAAACATCAAGGCACATAGATAGTTTAATTCAGTGATTGAAAATATCAAAGCAAGCATGTAACAACACTTAAGCAATTAAAAGAGAAATCTATGTGATCATGTTGAGGCTCAGGACCTCACTCTATCAATAGGAAATTAGTTATACATACTTGTCTGAATACATAAGGAATTATCCATGAAGAATCAAAGAAAGAGAACAACCCTTTTTTACAAGAATTCTTCCTGAGTTCTCTAATCTCCTCCTCTGGAAAACAGCCCCCATCTTTTATTATTATCACCCTCCTATTTAAATCCCCCTAATGCATACTTAAAAGAGACTCCAATCATCCACACTCCGGATCAGATCAAGAGACACAAAATAAATGTCAATTAAAATTGACTTATAATTTAAATGGGCAAACAGAAAGTGCCCTGCCTCCATATGTTTAGTAGACCAAAAGTCCATAGATTTCAATGACTGAGATGTCCTTAGAAAGCTTGAAACGTCTACTTCAAAAAGCTAGGAAGGAGGTTTTCTCAATTTAGGGTTTAATTATGTACTTATCTCTCATGCAACCTTCAGATATCGAAACTGTTCTGTCAGCACACTAACCTGTCTTCGTTCTTAAACTGGGAACGATTGGCTGGGAATTTTGAGCTGAAAACTTGAAATGATCATCTTCAATCTCTTGTGAATTGACTCCAACTGGAACCACTCAAAAACTCCACCGTTTGCATACTTTTCCACCAAACTCAATCCTGCTGCTCCTAGAAACACAATACGGCAAAAGTATCACAAATACTTAAAACTTCCAACTAAACTAGACAAGAAAAGAAATATAAAAGGGCGAAATATATAGTAGAAATATTGGTTCATCACCAACCTACATTTTCTAGTATGAGATGAATAGATAAATGCAAGCCCTACTTATAGTAGAATGGGGCGGTTAAAAGATTATGAGACCGTAGTTTTTAGATCATTGAACCAAAACAGATGAAGTACTGAAGATCGGATCTTCGATCAGAGAATAGTGGATTCAAGAAAGCAGATAGAACCAGATCAAGCCGCAGACCTCTAGTCTAAACAGTCTAATCAACGCGATGAGAATGACTAAAAAATGGAGATTGGATCATCCTTGGTACTATTAGAACAAGTCAATCTAATAAGCACCAGAACGGTAGACAAGGTCAACTTGGTCAAAAATGACCTACTTAGCCCTCAAGGACGTCATAATCCCATCATGATTAGGAGAGAATCGTGGAAATTCCTATTGTCATGGGAATTGATGTATATCACAAGTAATCACTAACCTAATAGAAAGGGAATATCATCCTAGATTCCTTTTAGTATTCTCTCGAATTTAATATGAATTTCTATCTCATAAGGTAGCATTCTCTCAAATTTAGTATGGATTTCTATCCTCATACGGACTCTCACCACACTATAAATACACCCCTTGGGGTTCAAGGTAAAGGTATCACATTCTACTCCCTAATCTATTGCTTGAAGCTCTAAACATCTTACTGGCTTGACCATCCAAAAGTCATTGGCTGTACCTCTCTTATGCCTAGGTTCTTTACGGTATTTTCTCTTTGTCTTGTAAGTGTTCGTTCGGTTGTTCGTATACTAACAGTTATACGAGAATTTGGTTCCAACGATTGTCCTGCGATTTTGCAAATAATCGATGTGAGAAAAGTAATCTTGTATTTCTCATTAATTGAAACAATAATACAACTGTTGATTATATAAAGTTTCTCAAATAAAGATTAGTAACTAAGTAAGCCTAGCTAATTACACTTAGGACAAGATTAGTTTCACAACGGATAAGAGGATAAGATCAATGACTAAGATATGATAATGATGAGCTGGACTGTAGAGTAGTATCTTTGTTAATACACCCCCTCAAGCTAATCGGTGAGGGACCAAGAGATAGCTTGGATTGTAAGTACTTGAATAGGTGTTTGGAAAGAGCCTTGGTGTGAATATCAGCAAGCTAATATTGACTAGGAACATACTAAACATGCAACAGGTGAGCAAGTACCAATTCACGAATGTAATGGTAGTCAATTTCCACATGCTTAGTACAAGCATGGAAGTCTGGATTTGATGCCAAGGAAAGAGTAGACACATTATTACACCACAAAGTAGGAACTTTGTATAAAGGAAATCAAATATCTCTGAAGATTTTGCAAATCTAGGTAATCTCAGCAACATTATGAGCTAGAGATCGATATTCTGCCTCAGTAGAAGATCGAGCTATTATTGTTTGTTTCTTGGCACTCCAGCTAATGAGGTTGTTGCCCAAATTAACACAAAATCCACTAGTATATCACTTATCAAAAACACAACCAGCCCAGTCAACATCAAAGAATGCAGTGAGGTGCATAAAACTTTTCTTAAACCATAAACCCTGAGTAATGGATCCTTTCAAAAATCTGAGAAGCATTTTAACTGCTTGAAAATGAGAATCTCTGGGACAATGAAGAAATTGACACACTTGAGTAACTGACATGAGATATCATGCATTGTCCAAGTTAAATATTGACGAGCCCTAACAATGGATTTGTATCCATGGGGATTGGACAGTAGAGAACCAATGTGATCAAGTTTATTACCACTAAGATGTGTAGGAGATGGTTTGCAGCCTTCCATCTTGGTCTTGATAAGAAGATCCAAAATATACTTTCCTTGTGAAAGAAATATGCCTTCTAAAGATCGATGTACCTTAAGTTCAAGGAAGTAGTGTAAAGGACCCAAATCCTTAACTGGAAAAAGAGCTCCAAGCTTTGAAATAAAATTGTTACAGACTGTTGGATTTGGTCAAGTGACCAAAATATTGTCAACATACACCAAAACAATCACAAGTGAAGGGCAAATGTCACAAAAATAGAGCAATCAGACAGAGAATTAGAGAAACCAAGAGACACTAAAGCTTGGAAAGCTTTTCATACCAAGCCCGATGAGCTTGTTTGAGGCTGTAGAGGGATTTATTAAGTTTGCAGACGAAAGAAGCTTTGGAAAAATTCACAAAGCCTAGAGGTTGTTGCATAAAGACTTATTCCTTTAAAGAACCATGAAGAAATGCATTACTAATGTCTAATTGGTTTAAAAGCTAATCAAACTGGACAACAAGAGTTAAAAAGATCCTGATTGTAACCAATTTAGCAACAGGACTGAAGGTTTTTTTAAAGTCAACTCTTTCTTGCTGATGAAATCCTTTTGTGACTTTTAAAGTCAACTCTTTCTTGCTGATGAAATCCTTTTGTGACAATCTGAGCTTTATATCGATCAACCGAACCATCAGGTTTCCTTTTGATGCGAAAAACCCACTTACAACCAACAAGGTTCTGATGAGGTGTAGATGGAACCAAAGTCCATGTACCAGTTGCTTGCAAAGTTTAAAATTCTTCTAGCATGGCTTGATTCTAATGAGCATGCTTAGATGCTTGCAAGTAAGTAGTTGGAACAAAATGAAGAGTATCAACTGAATGTTTAGTTGTTGCAAAAGCTTTAGGCTTGTAAATTCTAGCTGTTAACCTTGTAACATGGGATAATTATTAGTTCGAACAAAAGGTGGTGCTGAGCTTTGAATAGGAGCTAAAATCTAAAAGGTAGAGCTGTGATCAGGAAACATATGAATTGGAGTAGAGGGTGATGCTGAGTTGTGATCAGTAGGTACTTAGGCTGTAACAGAATGCTGAGCTAATATTAAATCTGGAACTCAAGCTGGCACGGATTTGACTGAGTAAGAGAACGGCATATCAAAAGATGAAGATGACTTATCCATTATCTTTAAGGTTGATCCTGAGATAATTTTGGATTCATTATCAGATTAATGGACTGCAGTTCACTTTTAATTAATTCAATAGATCGGGACCAAATGGGATCGATCGTGGAAGGAAGAATAATAACATTCGGGTTTAAATTATTTAAAACGCCAAAAATTAGCATTGAATTCAAAAAACCATAGCCCAAAAGGATTTGGGCTTGGGTGTTCTGAGTAAGGCAAAGCCCTAGAGGCATACAGGTTTCCAGTTTGGCTGCAAAACAGCCCACATGTGGCTATAAGCCACGAGTTGAGAGGCTGGGAAGCCCAACAGCAACAACTGCTGGCATTAGGGCCGAAGGGTGGACATGGGGTAGGCCCAGCAAATGTTGACCGTCTGTTGGTCCATGAAGCCCAACTGAAGATGGGTTTGGGTCGGGGCGCAGGACAAAGCCTAGCAGCCTAATGCTGCTGACAGTTTGGGCTGAGTAAATTTGGATAGGTCAAAGGAAGGTTGCAGGCTTCCATTTGGATGTGGGTTAGGCTTCGAGCCCAAGTTAAGCCAACTAGGCTAAATGGTCTATTGTGTCCGTGCGCTTGCAGCAAAGCCCAGAGGGCTGCTACCATGGTCCAGATGTCGGAACGACGTCGTCCTGGTGCCGTGCTCGACCCGGCTAGGCTATAGGGCAACACGGAGGATGATGGTGGCGCCACGTCAGTGATGCGGTGGCTGTGCCTCATAGCTCCCAATATTTTTATTTTTTCAAATTTTCTAGGGTTTGAAAAATCCCTAACATGCTTCTAATTTATTTATATGCTTTGACTCACAATTCCACATAGCAATTTAATTACTTAATGCATGAAACATATACAATATATATATCAGAAGGAAAATATAAACATAGGGGTTCATGCATCATGGAGAATATTTTCATGCTTCAAGGTCGTTTCAAATATCTTCCTTTATTTTAAGCGTACCTGATTGACAGAAAACAAATAAGAGCCTTTGAATTTTGTGGAATATAGCCTCCTCCTACGATCCATTAATTCCTCACCTTCTGGCAAGAGCGTGCTGATAACGTGTTGTAGGCCTATTTAACTGAGTTATTCTAAGGGAATATAGAGAGGGGGCCGTCGACAATGAGAGAGAAGAGAGATTTAATTGTGAGGTGTGTGTTGTATCATCCCATTGTGCATTTATTTATAGTAATAGGATAAGTAAAATTCTTACCCTTATAAGATTACAACTCTTAATAGGTAATCAACTCCTAATAGGGATATAAGAGATATTCCTAGATTTATTAGGATTTACACAAACTGATATATTTATTCTATGATACGGTTTCAAGTTGTGATTCATTCAAAAACACTTTTTTTTTCTTATTTATTATTATTATTATTATTTTTTGTGAATTCTCTGTTGCCCATTGTTGATATCCTTTGGCCACCATATCAAATATTTCGAATGCCTCCCTAGCTGATGTAGATGAAAACGATCCCCTGCTGATGCATTAACATGACTCCTAGATGTAGGATTAAGCCAGAAAAAAAAGGTTTATCTGAGTATCAGTGTCAATGCAGCATGTGAACATTTCATAGACATCTCTGTATATCTCTCCCATGCCTAGTGAAACTCCTCGTTTGGCTTCTGCAAAAATGTTATAATCTCTCTCTTGTAATTTAACGTCTTGGATGCAGGATAATATTTGATCAGAAACTTTGTACGCAACTGCTACCAAGTAGTGACACTAAAAGAAAAATGGCCTTTTGGCACAAAATTAGGGACACAAATAAGGTGTTTGTGTTTGTTTAAACACTAATAGGGTGGAAGAGTGCTCATTTCGTAATGTGCACCATGAACTGTGCGCAAAGTTAAGAAAAGTGGACACAAACACATTATTAGGCACAGAGCCATGACTTTGGTGCCTTTAATGTCAGCAATGGAAATTTTTTATTAATTTTCAATAACACTATAAATGTAATTGTGTCCTATAATTTAATATATTTAAAGTAAAGATAGATTTTTTGTGCTCTTTGTTTAAAATAATGTTCTAAAGGTGGACGAAACAAATGACCCTACGCTTTCTCTCTTATCTCTGAAATGACTCCGCGCTCTCTCTCTCTCACACTCAGACACTCTCTAACCTCTCGGATCTCTCTGCACTCTCTCATCTCCTCCTCTGCTATGTCAACAGCCTCGGACTCAACACTATCTCTAGTCCCTCGAATTGTTTCTGCACTCTCTGCTCTCTAACCTCTAGGGATATAAGAGATATTCCTAGATTTATTAGGATTTACAAAACTGATATATTTATTCTATGATACGGTTTCAAGTTGCAATTCATTCAAAAACACTTTTCTTTTCTTTTATTTTTTATTTTTTATTTTTTTGTGAATTCTCTGTTGTCCATTGTTGATATCCTTTGGCCACCATATCAAATATTTCAAATGCCTCCCTAGCTGATGTAGATGAGAACGATCCCCTGCTGATGCATTAACATGACTCCTAAACGTAGGATTAAGCCAGAAAAAAAAGAAAAAGTTTATCTGAGTATCAGTGTCAATGCAGCATGTGAACATTTCATAGACATCTCCATATATCTCTCCTATGCTTGGTGAAACTCTTAGTTTGGCTTCTGCAAAAATGTTATAATCTCTCTCTTGTAATTTAACGTCTTGGATGCAGGATAATATTTGTTCAGAAACTTTGTACGCAACTGCTACCAAGTAGTGACACTAAAAGAAAAATGGCCTTTGGGCTCAAAATTAGGGACACAAATAAGGTGGTTGTGTCTGTTATAGGGTGGAAGAGTGCTCATTTTGTAATGGGCACGATGAATTGTGTGCAATGTTAAGCAAAATGGACACAAACACATAATTAGGCACAGAGCCATGACTTTGGTGCCTTTAATGTCAGAAATGAAATTTTTTTATTAATTTTCAATGACACCATAAATGTTATTGTGTCCTATAATTTAATATATTTAAAGCAAAAGTAGATTTTTTGTGCCCTTTGTTTAAAATAATATTTTAAAGGTGGACGAATCAAATGACCCAACGTTCTCTCTCTTTTCTCTCAAATGTCTCCGCGCTCTCTCTCACACTCAGACTGACTCTCTAACCTCTCGGATCTCTCTGCACTCTCTCATCTCCTCCTCTGCTATGTCAATACCCTCGGACTCAACACTCTCTCTAATCCCTCGAATTGTTTCTGCACTCTCTGCTCTCTTCCTCCTCCTTGTCCTCCTCAACCATCTTCCTCCCTCTCATATACTTCCTCTTCCTCTTCACTTTCACGCAACAGCGCCTCCGTCCACCGATCACCAACGGCCGCCAAATTAAACTCCTAGAATCCTTTTTCCGTCCTCTTTCCAACCCCAAGTTAGTTTCTACAAATTCGTAACCGAATTTCCTCAATTTCAGATGTAAGAAACGGTGACCATTGGTTTTCCGGCCAATTTCTGGCCAAGCCTGTTGGAATTGGACCTCGACCCAAGAGATCAGTGAACAGCTTTTGGGTGTCCACATAGTGCAAGCAAGGTAAACTTTGTCGGTTGGTTATGACAGTTTTTTTGGTGCGTACCGTTTCGTTCCTGCCATATGGGTAACGTCATTCCATTCTTGATTAGAATTATTAACTTCTATTGGTATTCATGAGTGATAGCTATTCTTTGTTTGAGATGGGTAATCTTGGTTGAGAAATTTGTTCTAATCAGCCGCAAAATATGGTCGAAAGTTTGTTGTCCTTGAAGTTCATGACTTGGAATCGTCGGGGTTGTTCCCGGCTAGGATATTTTGTCAAGCTTCCTTATTAGATCGAATAAATTATGTTGATGTTTTCTATTGTATCTCGAATAAATTTGTCATTTGCTGTTGCATCTCATGGTCAGTGTGGGGGTTTCCTGTTATTGAGGAACTCTATTGCGGTTAATTTTAAGAATACTAAAGTTCGAATATGTTTTTGGATGAAAGGTGACCTTTCTTTTTGATATTGGAGGGGTGTTGCATAAAATTTGATACCTGCACGGCTGCACACAAGTCAATAACATGAAACATGGAGGGTGTGTAAATCCATCTGTCTCAGAGGTTTTGAGTTTCATATGTATAGTCAATTATCGTACGTTCAAAGTTTGTTATTGACCAAAAGAAAGAACTAAGTAATTGATTATTAATCAACTGATGATAAAGTAACTTATTTTGTAAAATGTTGGTAATTCTAGTTTTGTAGACTGTAAGTGATGGAGATATGTGACCTTTTCTGAATTAATTTGAGGAATATTACAAGCGTACACCAGTGTTGAAAATTAAATTGTTGGAAGATGATGGGAAGCCAAGGGTTATGGCTACTCTGAATAATAATAATAAAATCTAATCTTTGTTATTTGTTCTGGGAATGTCATGGATAATTATATTCTAGTAACGAGGTACATGACTTCTTTGTGAAAGCTCATGTTTTGTGTTAAGTTCATCATTTTGTGTCTTGGAAAAGAACAGATCAAATAATGTAGAAAGTTTCAGTTTGATTGCTTAGTTCAGATTACTTTAAGAAATTTGGGCTTGAGCGGACATTTTTTTTGTTGTTATCCAGCTTTCTTGTTCAGATGCAATTGCGTTCTAGTCATGTGCAAAAGAAAAATGTACCTCACTAGCAAAATGCTTTTCGAAATTACAATGAACATCCAGTGCTGACTTGTTCTTTGCATTTTGCTTCATGTGTGGAGAGCACGAAGTATATGGAAGAGTGGCTCTCTTCTCTGAGGAGCAGCTGACACCGGATGAAATGGATACTGTGGCTCTCTTCTCTGAGGAGCAGCTGACACCGGATGAAATGGATACTAGCCTAGTTTGATGTAATTACTTACTAGTAGTATGGGACTGGCTAATATAACTTTGAGTAGCAGAGATGGGAGCCTTTGCCTTGGGATTGACTTGGAAGGAGGTTGCTGCTATCGTCTTTTTCGCAGTTCAAAATTATGGTACTAGATCTCTTTAAGGGAATTAGATCTCTCATAGCTCAAAATGATATATATTTAACATGTATATCTACATAGTTCATGCCTATTTTGGTTTAAAAGTAGAATTCGCTATATGATGTTCACCATATACTACTGAATATCATGCAAAACCCTTTTTTTGGATTGAGGTGTTGGTTGTTAGTCTTATACTCTTTGAAATAGTGTTTGCAAATTCTTTTTAAGAAAACATACAATTGCCAAATTACTCCACATGTATAAAAGTAATTTGTTTACTGGATGGAATTGGTCTTTTAGTATTATGTGTACTCATGCCTTTTAGTGATGGTTTGTACTTGTGATTAGGTTAATTGCGTGGAGTATCTGGGGACCGGGGCATGACAATAGATGCCAAATGGTATTGTATCTCATTTTGGAGTTTGGTGTTGTGAACCCTTTTGTACATACAAGTTTAAAATATATATATGCATATATGTTTATATGCACGTGGCATGAGGTCATTGATTTTTTGGGTGCAGTACATCTTAATTCTAAGAAGAGCAGATTTGACTCTGTTAGTGCAGGTATCGGATTGCTCCGCTCTCTCAGTGTAAGTACATCTCTGCATATCTTTATTTCCTCAATTATATTTGACTTTCTTATGTTGAGTTGCCAAATTAAAGATATTGCACTACTTTTTCGATACTACATTGAATCTGGAACATGCGAAACATTAAATTTTGAGTGTTAATTATTGAACAGGGGCTGCATTTTAAATTTGTAAACATCCACTGTAATGGTTTGGGGCTTGATGGTTGTACCAAATCTCTTTTTCTTATTCCCATGTTATGTCCATGTGTAGACCTTTTTGTAGCTTTCTAATTTTGGGTTTTTCTTGATGTGTGCTTACGTGGTTTGGGATTACTTTCCTTTGCAGGCCTGGGTAATATATAAAGCTTTGTGCTTTCAGATTAAGGTAAAGTTTGATTATATCTTATAGTTAATTCTGATGCCCATCGCAAGGTGTATAATTTTTTTCCATTACACTTATGTGTTCTATCAATTAAACTCTAGACCAACTACTAATCTCCTAAGTTCTTTAAATTCGGGTTTCTTATATGTTGTAGGAAATGGCATATTTTGAGATACTCTGCATCTTTCTTTCTTTAGTTCTTTACATTTGAAAGAGTGAGAATTATATTGTTGGGACTTCGGATTCTATTTTTATGTCCTAGTTTGTGTGAGGATTGCTTGCCATCCATACAAGAATGTTACTAAAGTGTCAGGCAAGTCTTTATGTTTCAATCCCAAACAAGTGCATGTATACATAGCAGAATTACACCAATTAATCTGTGGGAGGAAGGATATACAACAGCTCATGAGATAAAGATAAAGAATCATAATTTGAAAATTTGGAAGCCACTACATACTCATTTCTTGTTGCTGTGTAAATTTTGAAGGGTCCGACACTGACACTCAAGCAGCGTTTTGGAAAGAAAATTTTGGAACTAGAAGATGAGAAAAGAACTGTGCAGGTTCACTTAAAACCTTAATATTTGATGTTCTTATTCTTGAGAGAACCGATATTCACTTAAAACCTTTATAATTTTAGTTGGGGATAGAACGTGTAAAATTATTGTTGTTTTTATGTATAATGGTTGTGAATATCTTTGTAAATTGTAATATTATAGATGTTTGTGGTTGTGGGCTGTTTTAATTTTATGAAAAAATAATTTTTTTTTAGCCTCAATCTCAATTTGTAGGTGATTTCGGTTTTTAAATAATTTTTTTTTTTTAAATAATTGACATATTGGGCACAATAACAATAAATGTGCTAACATGGGTGGCAGCAATCATCTGACAACTTTGTCAGAACTGGGCACAAAAGGACCTTTATTTGTGCTTACACTTTTCAGCACAGCATACCTTATTGTACTATTTGATCAAAGGTGACGTCCATAGAGGGCACAGATAGAAACTTAGTTGCTGCACTGTTGTTATTGGTCTATGGGCGCATATGTTGGTGCTCTTTAGCCTTAAAGGACATAGATAATTTATTTTGCACAGTGCCCATATTTTTTGTAGTGTGATACTATTAACCGGTAGGGTGGATAGCCATATTTTTCCTATAGAGTGAACGGAAAAAGACGGCGCTTGATAGCCTTAGCAGAAAAACCCCAATCATAATATTTTGGCATTCCACTAAAAATTCTGTAATGTGCATATTGGGATCCTCGTTTAGCAGCCCACAGAAAGCAGGTCAAATTTCAAGCATATGGTGCTTGCTCTCGAAAGCATCACCTTGTTCCTGGTCCGGATACACAATACATCTCTGGAAGTCATTGGCACGGGCCTCCAATGACTCTCTGAGTGGCCATAAAAATCAACAAACAGGTACTGCAGAAAAGTTTCATCTTCGCGATTGTCAACCCCACTCCCTTTTTCTGTATTTTTTAATATATGATACGGTTTCAAAATTGCGGTTCATTAAAAATAATCCATTTATTCTATAATTCCTTCTCCCCTCTGATATAAATTGAAGTAGTAATATTGCTTGTAATAAAATAAAATTATTAATTAAGGTGTAAAAAATCCACTCTTATAAACCTGTACAGAATATAAATACGAAACTTGTAACTCATATGTACAAAGTTAACAATTAATAAAAACATTATAACGACTAGGTGAGAATTTACTTACAAACTGAAAAATTAAAGCAAAACAAAATAATAACTGAAATGCTAGAAATATAAATTGAGGCCGGGCATAAGCTTCACTCATCACCTTTTCACTTGATATTGAGTACAATATTTATCAAGATGAAAACTTCAAACAATTTTATCATAATTATTTTTATTCTGGTTTTCATCACAACTAGTCATGTAAACGCTAAGTGGTTTCATAAAAGGGTAATGGGTGTCCAAATAAACAACCATATACATGACGGGACAAAATTAAAGGTTCACTGTAAAACGGGAGATGATGATTTTGGCCTTCACATTTTGGGAGATAACCAAGAAGTTCATTGGGAACTTTCCCCTACTTTCTGGTATAGCACATTGGTTTACTGCTATGTGCAATGGAGAAACTCACCATGGTACCGTTTTGATGCCATTAGAATGGATGCGGATTGGGGGTGCGATCACTGTTATTATTCCATGGACCCCGACTACAAATTGTGGCTTTGGCATTGGGTAGAAGGAAATCATATATGGACCGAAGTTGCGTTACATCAAATATAACAGAAAATGAAAAGAAAAATAATCTATGAATGCAATGTAATAATTCTTTGTCTTGACTTTAAATAATGATTGTAAGGGGCTAGTAACCCAGTTTATTAAGAGCATTCTCACTTGCAACTAATGTCTCGAGTTGAAATTCCCCCTCCCCCAATATTATTAGCAAATAAAACAATTTAAATAAAAAATTTCGATCTTTTTTAGTTTAATAAGTATTTAGAATACAATAATATTAAATTTTCAACGTCATTAATGTGAGTTAAACTTTAAAACTATTACTTACAATTGGAAAACCATATCAGATATATGTTAAAGTCTACTCAATCTTCAAAGAGTAGGACTCTGTTTGTTTGGTAGAAAATTATCAAATTCCATCCGTATTACTTTGTGTTGGGATTTACTTTTCCCATTCCGCGTCTTTTCCATGAGGAGATCTGCTCTATAAAATGCACGCCTACTCAGTGTTCCCAGAATGCAGTTCATGCGATGATGGGGTTCTTAAACTTGAGCAAGTTCTTTGATCTTGGCTTGTCCATAAATGAGTTTTGGTACTTCTTCGAAATCGACCATAAGGAAGGCGTAGGGTTGCTGAGGTCTCGCCATAAGCTATTGATGCTTCCTGCAAAGGTGATCACGAGTGGGCGAGAGATACCTTGGAGGTGACTAGAGAGTAGGAGTCTGACTCATCTCCTAAGCTGTGTGTCCCTATTGCCTTTATCAGTGGTAAGTGAACTGCTTGATTCTTAGCCTGCTTGAATTTTTGTTGAGCTGCTCCATGACTTCAGTTTACTGATCATCCTTTTTACTTTGTGTAGATTCAAAATTTGGCTCAACTCTAAGAACTTTGACGTATATGAAGAAAGTGCACATTGCCTTGGGCATTCCTGCTAAGTACCATAAGTGGCGCTGGCTACTCAGTCGTCTTTGTTGAGAGAAAGGTGGGTTACTTCCGAAGGAAGAGATAAAACGAATAAATGATGAGGCGTTTGCTTGTCCGATCGCTGTTGTATAGCTTGCTGCCAATTAGGGTGGAAAGAAGAGATCTTCCTCACTTACTTGTGAACTTTCGGCCAAGAAGAAACCAAGGACTTCTTCTGCTGCTCATAAGGGCTCATCTGCCTCTGAGAAACTTGTCATTGATCTGACTTCTCCTAAGGGACGAAAAAGACCGTTGAGTCAAAGTCTGTGAAACTTGTTGCTCTAAAGGTAGCCATGACCATTGCTGAAAGGATTGCGCAGCAAAAAGGTTCAGTGGTGCCCCTGGTGTCTGGTTTATGTCGAAGCACGTGTCTGGAGCTAATTCTAGTTTGATTTCTGAGAAGCTCGCCGTCTTGAAGAATGGAATCTGAGGCTGGGGAGTTTCCCAAGGTTTATACGCTGTTGAAGGTTGACCTGCTTGAGGACGTTGATTCATGTGCCAAATTCGTTGATAGTTGTAGACATCAAAATTTCGGTGAAATGAATGTTGACCAATAATTAAAATTTCAACGCTCACGTGTCACATAAATTTTACATGTAGTGTGTGAATCAACGAAAAATCGAAATAAATTGGAAAAGTCATCAAATATGACACGTGTCAATACCTGGCAGAAATGATTTATTTCATCTGATTATTTAAATCCAAAAATCAAGTTTTGGAATTCTATAAATAGGAAGCCAAGGCATTCATTTTGGAGGAAGAAAGGAAGAGGAATTTACATTACACAAAAAACCTTCAAGCCTTGAAACTCTAAAGCTCTCAAGCAAATCCCGAAGGATCAAGAAAGCACTCTTCGTTCTTCGTCAAATCCTCCTTCAAGATCAAGCCCCAACGGCCCTTGAAGAACTTCCACCAACTCAAGATCAAGCCCCGACGGCCCTTGAAGAAAGTGTTCATCGTTCATCATCCGTTCATCCTAAGATCAAGCCCCAACGGCCCTTTGGATCAACAACCTCAACAAATCCACACATCCAATCGTTCTTCAAGATTAAGCCCAAAAGCTCTTGAAGATCCGCTCATCCATCAACCTTCAAGATCAAGCCCCAACGGCCCTTGAAGAACTTCCACCAACTCAAGATCAAGCCCCGACGGCCCCTTGAAGAAAGTGTTCATCGTTCATCATCCGTTTATCTCAAGATCAAGCCCAACGCCCCTTGAAGATCCATACATCAACTGTTCATCCTTAGATCAAGCCCCGATGGCCCTTTGGATCAACAACTCATCCACAAACCTACACCCTACGAAGATAGAATCAGAGGACCAAATTACAAAGAGATTGTAACCCCAAAATCATTAATACAAAAATATATTTTGTATACGTATTCTTGTCTCTTGTTTCAGGAATTTTTCGTGTTTACAATAGTGTTGGGAAAGTTTTCGTCTGCTAAGACACTTTTGTGAAACGTATTGCCTACTCAAAGAGGTCCTCTGTGCTTGCTACAATGCATAAGACTTTGATCCTGGTAGCTGAGTCTATACGCGTTGTTCAGGATGCTGTCAAGTGTGCTAAGGAGGCCGAAGTGCCGTTAACAGCTGAGCTTCGCCCAGTTACCGAAAAGATTAAGAAGCTCGAATTTGAACTCGCAGTTTTGAAGGGGTCTGATGTCTCTACCCCCACTTATGTGTAGCTAGAAATCGCTCATCAGGAAGTCGTCCACTTGAAACCTAAGCTTAGTGCAACTCAAGTGATGTTGGAAACTGTAGAGAAAAAAGTCCGTCGTATTTCACTGGTGGTCAATGACCTTGAGCATTTCAATTCGAAACTGTGATCTGCTTGATTTGCCAAGGACAAGGAGCTTGTATTCATGCATGTTGAAGTGTCTCATCTCAAGGATGTTGCCAGTAAGCTTGAGTCCAAGGAAATGGATCTTCAAGGTGTGCTGTCTGCTAGCGAGAACCTGAAAAATGAGCTGGGTAAGCTGCAGGATGCTTACACTAGGCTTGTTGAAGAGAATGTGCAGCTGAAGAATGAGAAAGTCAGTCATGAAGTGGTACTTGCTTCTTGTCAGGCCCATTTCTACAAGCATGGCTATGTAAACCATCTTCAGGGTAAGTCGTCAGATTATGAGTTTTCCGAGAAGGACTTCAAGACTTTATCCATTTCTTTAGTTGATTTGCTTGACTTCTTGTTCAAGGCTACCTTTGGTGGAGCTGCTAAGGGTCAAGCAGTCCAGGTAAGCACAACTGAGGATGAGCTAATGGGAGCTTTCGCTGCTCAGAACAATATGGCTGCTAAAAGTGTGGCAGTGGAGGGACCAGTGGTTGCACAGGCTGCCAATGAGTAGTCTTTTTGTTTAGACTTAGGAATTCTTTTCTTTTTCGTTCTTCTTTATTTGAACTTTGTTGGCCTTCGAGCTAGTTTATCAATTTGGTAGAAATTTAATAAACAATTTTCCTTGTTTTGCTTCATCCTTCTATTTCGCCATGTCTTTTGCAAAACTTTATTGTAGGACGGGCGGCTGGGTAAGTTGTTTCAATGAAGCAATTAATCCTACGTCGTCACTTATATTTTAGTTTTGGCTTT